TTCCTCTTGTAGTAAGGATTTGCTGTGAAGGATTAAATTAGTTAATATGTTTTTTAAAAAAAGATTTTCTTTGTATTTATGTGTTGTGTATATGTATATTTATGAGAAGGATGGGGTAACCACCAGGGCCAGAAAAGGGCATTAGATTCCTCAGAGCTGGAGTTACAGGTAGTTGTGATCCACCATATGTGGGTGCTGGTATTTGAACTCTGATCCTCTTCAAGAGCCACAAGCACTCTTAACCCCTGAGCCCATATCTCCAGCCACTAAATAACATATTTAACGATGAAAAAGACTTCTGTGGAGGTCAAATACTGTCTTTTTATTGTTGTTTGGTCCTGTCCGCTCTGGATCTTCTGTGAGAATCTACACTGCTCTAATGAACCGTACCTATAGTGGTTTCACTCCTACAAACTAGAACAGGGACCCTTCCCCAGCCTCTCCTTTTGGGGGGTAAAGAGGGCCCCCTTTTGAAGCCTTGGGACCAGATGGGATTGCTGAGCGAGACCTTTTCAGTTATTCTGTAGCTGAAAGCAGCTTTGCAAGTACAAAAGTGACCTTGGGATTCATTGCACTCAGGTTGGGTAAGAAAGACAGGCTTGATCAGATGGGCTGGACTGAGACAGGGAGAAACATTGCCTTGAAATGGAGCTGGAAGACTGGGAAGGGCAGATGGTTCTCAGACAATATCCCCAAAAGCATCGCTGACAATGACATAGGAAGAATAGGTGTGAGGCACAGGGAAAGATGTTGTCTTCATCAGCCCTCACAACTCGGCCTTCCCGGGTGAGGACTGCAGTGATTGGAGTCTGGTGTACGAGCTCAGGCCTCAGAGTGGCTCCATGCCCTGACATCATCTGCACAGGGAACACAGGGCTTTCTACTTCTCATGAGAATCCAGCCCCACCCTTGTGTGTGTGTGTGAAAGAGAGAGAGAGAAAGAGAGAGAGAGGTGTGACGTGTGCTTTCAGGCCTTTAATATGATTTTAAAATCCCTCTCCTTGGACCCATGTGCATGACAGAAGGATGTGAGCATCCTCGTTGGCTCACTCAGCTGAGCAAAGACATTTTTCACTATATCATAGAGCCATGATAACCCATGAATCAACTCAAATTCTCCAAGTTACATAGAATTGCCTCCTTTTCAAGTCTGTGGAACCTACCGGGAAAATCACAGGGCTATTGGATGTTCACACTAGTGTGTCAGAGACCCTATGATCAATTCTATGCATGGGGATGTTGGGGGGCCCAGTGGGGAACCGCTATGGTACCTGGGTCTCTTGTTGCTTGCCATATAATGCAGTTCTCTCTTGTGGAGCCAGGAGAGCTTTAGCTTGGAGGAAGGATAGAGCGCACATACAAATCTTCTGCCTTATTCTCTAGTCAAGGTGGGCAAAGACTTGGGTTTTTATAAAAAAAAGAAGTCTCACAGGTGGTGGGCCACCAGCGAAAGTAGTGGGGGAATGTCACCACTGACATCTGTGTATAGAAAGTCACTGGGAAAGAAAAGGTTGTTAACACTAGATCTGTTGGCTTGAGTGCCAACAGGGAGAGAGAGAGAGAGAGAGGGGGGGGGGTGGGAGGGCTGGGTACTCATCCTTTCCTTTCTGGCTGCCCGCAACAGGGAGAAATGTCAGTATCTTGCACAGGGCCTCCTGCACAGCTGGGGGTTCTCACTTTCACCTAACCTACTAAATGTTACTGAGTATCATATTTGAGAACACGCTATGAGGTCAGGGGAATTACTTACTCACGTTGTTTCTTGGAGACCCAAACTTCTCATCTCCCTGCAATGAGAAGGATCTAAGTATGATGCAGTGAATAGAGCAGAAATATCCTTAACATGGCTCCTCTTAAAACATGAAAGATGGAGGTTGGCCTATAGTGAAAACCAACTCATGGCTATCCCTAGGCCTCAGAGAAGAGAGCATCATCTCCCTGAGAACCAGCAGGTACATCTGAAAAGCTAAGGGTTCCCTAGTGGGCCATGTTCATAGCCTTCTTCTCCACTTTCTACCATAAGCTGGAATGCTGGGGGACTACAGAATTGGGAACCAGACTCTGCATCTATCTTTGCTTTCCTCCACTTTCTTCTCCATGCAGCCAGAGGAAGAGTTTTTCAAACTCAAGTTGGATTCTGTCATCATTCAGCAGACCAGTCAGGACCCCACAGTTGCCTTTAGAACCTACCTGCCCAAACTCCACTGGGGCTGCCCCTTCCTAGCTTCCTACCTGCAGGCATTGTTGGCTTGCTCTTGGTTCTTTCAGAGCCCATTCACAGTTTATAACTGGATGGTCAACATCTTTCTGTCCTAGTAGACGTCATGAGGGGAAGACTCCACATTTGCTTAAACTTGTCTACCCAGGGCCTAACAGTACTAACAGTACCTGAGTCTAGGGCTCAACCTCTGGGCTCCACACTGCAGTCTCTCTGGGTCTTGTGACTCACTCTCAAAGTTTGTTGACTGTTTGGTACCACTATGGGATACAGTTATCAAAAGGACAGTGGCTTTTGTGTATCAGTGTGACTTACTGTGTCAAGGGTCCCAAGGGATGTACTTAACCGAAATAATTGAGGCTGAGCATGATGAGAACACCCCCACTCAAAGGGATCAGATGAATGAGGCATCATGGAGCAAATGTACCCTCAGATGATTGGGTAAAGAGCTTAAGACGCTGCAAAACATGAGCTGGACCAGTAGATGCTACAGGACTCTTCCATATCTGGCCTCCTCCCCAACTGGTCCCTTAGCCCTAGGGGCCTCACCCTGCCAAGCCAGGGCCAAAGGAGGAGGAGGTGGTGGGGTGAGTGGGAGGGGCAGAAAGAGCAAGCAAGGAGCCTGCAGTGACCTATATCTATTCCAGCTCTGGCTGTCTACCGCCAGACAGCTCAGAGTCTCTGGCAGCCAGCTGCAGCTGGACACAGGGAGAGAGGGGTGTGAGGAGGCTACAGGCTGGTAGGCCATGCAGGTGAGTGGGCATTGTGTACCTGGCTATACACCTGGTCTGGGAAGGGCAAGGAGGGAGGCACTGGGCAGTGCTCTAGGTGTTTTTGCACAGGAAGGAGCTGACAGTGGGCATCAGGTGAGCCCCACAGATATCTTGCTGGCTGACCGCAGGCTGGGTGCTTTTCTGACACCTCTAGGGGATCCCAGGATCCCTAGAGAGAATTTCAGTGGGTCTGTCCTGGCCCTGATTTTCCAGGCACTGCCTGGTGAAGAATGAAATATGACAACTAAGTTAAAAATCTTCCTAGCTGTTCAAAATAGTGACCTTAAGGCCAAAGCAGTTGAGAGGAATCCCATTTGTTCTTCCTTTCTGTTGAAAAGTTGGAGGTAGCAGGGACCTAGGCTGGCAGAATAGAACAGCTTCTGGTGCAGCGGGTGAGAACTATAGGTCCTGGGGCCCCAACCTTGGGGACTGGGTGGGAGTGACGGAAATGAGGGCTTTTGTTGAGAAGAGTTCGGAGTCTTCCCAAATGTGGGAATAAGTCATGAAGGAAAGAATGAATTCCCTTTCATATCCCTTTTAATTAAGCCTACATCCCTCTGTCCTCTAGCCAGACATATTTCTCACTCCTTAGCCATTGGGTTTGTACTTCTTCTAGATTATTCCTAAAGCAGCATGACACTGGACCCTTGAGTACTACAGGCTCCCGCTTCTTTACTGGACCTTCAGAAGGCAAAGGTAAGGGGCTAGTATCTGGATTATACTTGACATGTGGCAAATAGCCCCACAATTTACAGGAGCTAATGGTGAGAGTGATAAGGATGGTGACTATACTGTGTCAAATTCAACCTCTACTGTGGCTGGATGCCAGGGGCTTCCTTCTATCAGATCCTGACTAGAGAGCGCAAGGAATGGAGATCTTGGGGTACCTACCCCCACTCAGTGTAGCCAGCTGGGCTCTTTCCTCTCTGCCCTTGTGATGCCTTGCAGGGCAGTGGCTGTGTCTCTTGTGGTGCTTGTGACCGCTCCAGAACGTAGTTGGCACACTGTAGCATTCCAGCACACAGGGGAGCCATGACTAGGCTGCAGAGGGGGACAGTGGTGCCAGTAAATGGGCAGTTGTGCAAGAAAGCATATCATTTGGAGGATGGCATTTGCTCTGCCATGGGTGATTCTATATTGATGGCTGAGTTCTTTGGGCAGCAAGTACAGCCTCCCCAGATGCAACCACTTGGCCATGCATCAGCCTCTCAGCAGGTAAGTAGGGTAGCTAGAGGATTCTCACAAGTCTCCCTTTAACTCATTAGTGGCTCTTGTACACTCCCAGAGACAACACTACTCCTTCTCGTATGAGCAATACCAGATGGCTGCAGTTAAAAGAAGGTGGGGGTGTGTGGGATAATGGGAAGAAGCTGGGACACCCTCACCTTTACCTGGCACCGTAGTTCACAAACTCAGAAGGCAGTGGGTGGATTCCTGGTGATCTTATTGACTTGAGGAGAGAAGAGCTTTGGAGTCGATAAATCAAGGTCTCATCCCCACAGACCTTGAGGTCTGAAGGATTCTACATTGGTTGAAGATGGGAGGCAGAAGGCTCCAGGGCTCCAGTAGAAAAATCTAAGGGATTGCTGGGGAATTTGAATTCCAAAGAAGTCACTGTTGAACAAGATTCCTGAATGAGTTTGGTTTTACTCTCTGAATGGTGATGGGCTTGGGTAGAGGCCATCAGTAGAGTGGTATACAGTCCTGGCACCAAGGTTTCCTATCCTCAAGAACTGGGAAGCCCCTTCTTCCTCCCTGGAAATTGCCCTGGGAAACTGGTCTGGTGCAGCCATTCTAGGGCATGGCAGGGGACTAATCATTTTCACTTTAGGGGTTGGACAAGCTCTTAGGGGCATCCCTGGCCCCCGACATCCACCTTAGATCCTGGCCAGTGCCCCTGGTGGTATGGGAGGGGTGGGCTGATACTAATATGGGTCTCTCCTAAGCAATTCATCTGTCATCCTCAGGAGATCAAGTTTCACTAAGAGGAACAAGAAGAAGCTGGGACAATGGCAGGTAGGAGAGCTAACTGCCTCTGCCTCACTGTTGCTCCTAAGGTGGGCAGAAGGCAGGAGGGAGCTAGAGGCTGGAGCTCTCCAGGAACACACCACCTCTGCTTTTTCAGTGTGGGCTTTGGAGCACGGTCTGCTTTGCAGAGCCCCCACACAGGAACTGAACTAATGCTTCCTGAAGAGTAGCCCTTTCCTACCCTCCCTTACCTGACTTTTCTCTAGTGACACAGCCAAGGTCTTCCTGGGGCACACAAATAGAGAGGAACCACTAGATTCCCATTAAAAGGCTTAGAGGTATTGTTTACAGACAGCAGGTGGGCAGGATGAGCCTGCCTTGGCAGCTGGAAAACTAGGGGCCTGGTTCTGTGCCTGAGTGGGTGGCATCTCCAGATGAACTCCTCCCACCTTCTCCAGGAAAGGCCCCTAAGAAGTCCTCCATCCCGGGAGTGAACATCCGGCAGCTGGTGGATGAGATCCCCGAAGGCTGCAGCACACCAGATTTCAAGCAGAAGCCTGTCACCTTGGCTCTCTCTGAAGGTGAGACACTACTGGATATGGCTGAAGGAGTCACGGCTCCTGTTCTTCTACTCCCCAGAAAGCACGAGGGAGAAGGCTTGGCCACCTAACCTTTCTGGGTTCCCAGTCCCTCCTATGTGCATCGCCTATGTATCTGTCCTTCCTATATCCGACTGGGCTCTGTCTGCCTGGATCCCTAGGAGGGCAGGAGCCTGAGGAGACTGTGGGGAAAGGGAGTGAAAAGTCCATGCTGTGCTGACGGGGTGGGGGGAATACGGGCTGGCCAATACTAACCTGGGGTGCAGGTCCCCAGGTTCTCTTCTCTCCTCACCCTGCCTCAAAGTCTTCTACAGGAAGAGGCTAAATCTCTCTTCTCCCAGGCTAAAAGGATGGCTGAAGTAAAGTGCCTGCTCTGTAAGCGTGAGGATTTAAGTTTGGATTCCCAGTATCCACATAAGCTGGACACTAGGGGCACACACACACACACAAGTGTAGTCCCCACACTGGGGGGAGGGGTGGAGAATTAACAGGATTCCAGGGGCTTGTTGGACAGCCTGTCTAGCCAATTAATGAATTTGGGGCTCTTAAGACCCTGTCTCAAAAAATTAGGTGGACGAGCTAAAAAGATGGCTCAGTGGTTAAGAGTACTGGATTCTCTTCCAGAGGATCAGAGTTTGGTTCCCAACATCCACATGGCAGCTCATACCATCTGTAACTCCAGTTCTAGAACATCTAACATCCTCTTCTGGCCTCTGAGGGCATCACATACAAGTGCTACATAGACAAACACGAAGGCAAAACACCCATACATATAAAATAAAAGTGAAGCAAACACCATCTTTTTTTTTTTTAAATAAAATAGTGGAGTATGAGCAAGAAAGACACTTGACCTCTGGGTTCTCTCTCTTTCACACACACACACACACACACACACACACACACACACACACCCCTTTTCTTCTAACCTTGCCCTAAAAAGCCACATGTCTAGTGACTCACAGGTCAGCCTAGGCTCAGGAACGCCATTTTAAAAGGCCACAGGAGGGCCCAGGGAAGTAGTGTTCCTTCTCTAGCAATGACCTCTGCTTTAAGGTTTAGTTAACAGCATTCTGGTATAAGAAAAATAATGAGACCATAGTATGCTTTTCTAAATCTGAAACAAGGTCATGAGACACAAGGAGGGCCCTGGCACCTCTTCTGAGATCTTCTGCTGAGATGTTCCTGGCAGAAGGCACCAGGGCTCTGTGAGAGCAAGGTAGCTCTCATGCCATCTTGCCCTGCATAAAACTGAGAGTCTTTTCTGAGGCTGGAGTCCTAGGTCTGAGCACCAGCTCCTTTGAGCACAAGCCATTGCTTTCCAAGATTATCTTGTCCATCCCCCTAGATAGGAGGAATCAAACTCACAAAACGCCATACACTTCCTTGGTTTGGGAGAGCCCTTAGCCTCCTGCTCCACCTCCTGCTCCAGCTCTGCTCACCTCGCCCACCACAGACCACCTCACCACATTTTTTTCTTGGGGACACCAGTCCTCTGCATGATGGAAGTCAGGCCAGGAGTGCTTCTGGGTACCTGGAAACTGTTTCCACCTGACATTATGAGTTCAGGGATTCAAAGTCAGGTACTTCTTTTGAACTGGAGAGTTGGGGTGCCTACAACAGGGCAGATGATGTAAGTTTAAATCTAAATAACATATGTCGCCACTGTACCCCCAAGTTGCTTCTTTCTGCCACAGGGAAAAATGCCATCTTTCGGGCAGTGGTCTGTGGGGAGCCCAGACCTGAAGTATACTGGCAGAGCACCAAAGGAGACCTCAGCAACTCCAGCAAGTACCAGCTTTCCTCTGCCCCTGGCAGCAAGGAGCACGTGCTGCAGGTGAGCCCTGCAGCCATCTGACCCACAGTTCATGAGTCTCTTCCTAGTCCCTTAAATTCTTAATGGCATCCAGTCCCCAGGTAAGGAGGAGATATTCCCACAGTTGGGTCTATTCAGCTTCAACCCATAGGCCTTCTGAGCCAGGAGAAGCCCTGGTGGGTTTGCCGAAATCTCTCTAACGCTCAGGAGGCCACCTGGACCATGCTGGGTCACAGTCTTGGGCCCATCACTTTGCCTTGAAGAGCTCTTTACCTGCCTCTCTCTGCCGCTGTTTCCTCGCCTATGGAATGGCATGATTATAGTACATATTTTCAGGAATTGTAAAGATTAAAAGTTCATATAAACTGCCAGTGGGTCTCAACCTGTGGGTTGTGACCCCTTTGGGAGTTGAATGAACCTTTCACAGGGGTCACATATCAGGTGTTCAGCATATTAAGTATTTATAATATAATTTATAATAGTAGCAAAAATTACAGTTATGAAATAACAACAAAAAATAATTTCATGGTCACTGTGACATGAGGAACTATGTTAAAGGGTCACAGCATTAGGAAGGTTGAGAGCTACTGCTCACTGTCCCATCTTAGATGGAGCACAGACAGCCCTTGACTGCTCCACGTGCAATTTTCTATCCTGTGTTGGTGGAAAAACAAAGTGCATTGAGTCAAATCCACACACTGAGCGCTTATATTTTTCAGTTTGATCTCTTCTTGAGTTAGAAATATGTAGGCATGAGCCACTCCAAGCCATGCAGCAACCCACAGCCATAGGATATCCTCAGTCATAGGATAACTATATTCTATAGATATTCTGTCACTGACTTACATGAGGTATTTAACTTTTATAAAATGGGCTTCATGGTCTTGCCCAACTGCAGGCTCACGGAAGTGCCCTCTCACATTAAGGCATTCGAGGCTAGGGAAACATTTGGTTAGCTAGCTGCACTAAATGCATTTTCAGCTGATAATATTTCCAGCTTTCAGGAGGTATACTGGAATGTATTGTGGTACCAGTCAAGTAGCATGTCCCCTTAATATTAATAATATTATAGATACTAACCATGGATCACTCGCAAGTATCAGGCCCCGGGCCAGACATTTTCCACAGAGGACTTGAGTTCATCCTGACCATTCACTACTTTTTGAGATATTATCCCCATCCTACAAATGAAGAAATTAACATCATGGAGGCCAGGGAACTTGCCCAAGGTCCCATAGCAAGTAATGAATGGCAGAGCCAGTCTTTAGTGCCAAGTTCACCTAACACCCAGAACAAGCTCTTCCTGTGACCCATATTACCTCTGATAGTAAGAACATCTGCCCTCTGTCTGGATCAAAATTTTCTTTTCATTTCTTGATAAATAGTGAGTTTCAGCTGGGCATGGTAGCTCATGCCTTTATTCCTAGCACTCAGGGAGGCAGAGGAAGGCAGGTCACTGTGAGTTTGAGGTCAGCTTGATCTACAAAGTGAGTTTAGTACAGCCAAGGCTGCACAGAGAAACCCTGTCTCAAAACAAAAACAAAAAAACAGGCAGAATTTCAGGGGGAAGAGTCATGTCTGTACATCTTCCTACTTCCAACACACAACCGTGTGTAGTACATGGCAGAAGGCAAATGTTAGCCCCATTCCCCTGCCCTTGACCTGTCTGTCTGCAGATCAACAAGCTGACTGGAGAAGACTCGGATCTCTACCGCTGCACCGCGGTGAACGCCTATGGAGAGGCCACGTGTTCAGCGAGGCTTACTGTCATCGAAGGTAGGCTTATCCCATGTGCCCATCAGTGCCCAGGGCAACAGTTTTCTCCAGAGAACCCTCTCAGAGGAACCTCAGGGTGGCAGGAGGGGAAGGAGCACCCAGAGGCTGCTGCAGGAGTCCTGGCTCCACCCAGTGGCACTATGGGTGTTTGCATGTACCTTAAAGGCACACCTTTAGCTACATCCTGTAGCAGATGCTCAGAATGGGACCAGGACCCAGATGATGTCAATATCTAGTCCCTCATCTTCTACAAAGTCATTTTTTTTTTTAAATCTGGGTCTCAATTTGCCCACTCTGCAACAGATATTTTGTGTAGGCCTACATCAGAGGGACAAACAGGCCAGCCACACAAAGACATGTTCTGCTCTGTTTACATGATGTTTGAAGATTCTTAACTTTTTTGGTTTGTAATAATTGGAATAATTGGAGATCAAGTTCTTCTTGTCTCATTGCTCTGCCATCCTTAGCAGGCTGACTGATCTGGACAGAGCCACACTCAAGCAGGAAGAGAGGGAAAGGGAGGCCCAAGTATACCTGCCTCCCTCATCAAGAAAGCAAAAGCTTAAAACTAAAAAACCAACCAAAAAAAAAAAAAACTGGTGATAGCTGTTATTTGTAAGGGGAAAGTGTATATTGAGTCTCCATAGACCCTTCATTGGGAGCAGATGGCAAAGAAGAAGATTGAGAATGACTGTGGGAATAGTCAACAGTTTCGGTCCCATCCACTGAACTGGCAACTCTCAGATGCTCTTGGATGCCCCTGAGTTTGCTGTGGTTGTCAGTGATCGTGTCCCTTCCTTATTCCGCCCACTTCCCTGTAGATATGTGAGTCTCTCGCTCATGAAATGATGTTCATGGTGAAGCTTTGAGGTATCAAAGCTTATAGAATACCCTTACCCTCATCTCTTCCTTTTGCTGGGATGTTGTTCAGGTGGGAGGCTCTGGGGCTCAGTCTGTTTCCCAGGAGGACCATCCAAGTGTCTTGCTTCTCTCCCTGTCTATCCGCACCACCTCTCTCCTCTCTTCCTTGGATGGTCCAGTGGGTTTTCGGAAGAACCGAAAAAGGCAAAAGGAACCTCAGGAGGGTAGGTAGAGTGGTTGGAACACCCCTCTGGGGCCTTTGCATGTTGCTCCCCATCTGGTATAACTACACACACACACACACATACATTTATACATACACACACACTGTGGGTGTTACCAGAAAAATTAAAAACAAAACAAACAACAAATATTGCTTATGAACTCTGGACCATGTAGCCTTTGTTTGGACCCTAGGCATCCCACCTGGGATTCAAAACTTATTCTTTCTTTCTAGACCTCAGGAAGGAGTTGATGGACTTTCGGAAGATGCTGAAAAAGAGGTGGGTCTGGGAGGATTTTGGAAGCTCATAGGGTGCCCACCTCAACGCCTTCCATAAGCAAGCTGGGCTCACTCTCCACATCTGCTACAAGGAAGAAGCTAGACTGCCGCCAGTGGGAGGGAGGACTAAAGAGCTCAGAACAGGGCTTTCTGGATCTTGAGTTAGTCTTCTTTCCCCTCACTCCCATTTGCAAAATGGAAGGGTCCGTTTGGGTAGAATTTAAAAATACATTTTAAAGTAACAGAACAATTTAATTCTAACTTACTCTACTCAGACATCTTATCAGAAACCAGCACTGCCAGTTGCTAGGAGCCCACAGTTTCCTACAAGCTGAAGCCACAAGGGTAGGGCTTGCTTCATCTAATCTCCGGGTCCTTTCGCTTGTTAGAGCCATCTGAGAGATTTCAGTCTCTCTGCCTGCCAGTCAGATATGATGCATAGTGCAGCTTCCATAGACTCATTCGGATTGCCAGGGTCAGCTGGTCAATTCCTGGGACTCCTCTGGCCTCTGACCTACCTGCCCTGATCCCCAGGGCCCCACCTCCAGCCCCTAATAAAAAGATGGAGTCTGAAAAGGTGTGGCAGCTGTTGATGGCCTCAGATCGGAAGGACTATGAGAAGATCTGTATGCAGTACGGCATCGTAGACTTCCGGGGCATGCTGCGCAAGCTGCAGGAGATGAAGAAGGAACAGGAGGACAAGATGGCACAGGTATTCTGGTCCTGGCCCACCCCCCTTGGAGCACAAAGTCTGGAGAAGCCAGCTTTGGTAAACAGTCTTCCTCCGTCTAGCCCCACCAAGAGGTCCTGCTAAGGATCTGGACTCCTAAGCTTGCTCTGGATTTTGACATCTAGGCCTGATACTTGTTAAAAGTCTGGACTTAAGTTAGGGCTTTGATGTCTTGATTTTCTCATATGTAGAACAGGGATTATAGCAAAATCTAACTTGTAGGGCTGAGGGGATAAGTAAAAGTGTTTACGGCAATTAGCCTAATGCATAACACACAGAAAGGGTCTAATAAGTGTCTCCTGTCATTATTGTTATTGTTATCATTGCCAGACTTGGGGTCTTATTTCTCAGGGATTCTAGTACTCTGAGCCAGCATCTTATAAACTACATGGGAAGTTCCTTCTTGTGTCTAACTTGACATGTCTATTTTTTTTTCCTTCTGGGATTAGAAAACAGCTAGTTTTCTTCATTCTGAAAGTGGCATTTTAAAAACTCATTTTAAAGATGGCTTTTCCAGTCTCCCAGCTAGGACTCAGCTTTTCTTTCAATCATTCTTACCTGTATCAACAAAGGGCCGAGGGCTTTGCCTAGTGATGCTCACCTAACATTTATTAGCAGGAGGGACAGATGAATGGACACCCTCTTTTGGTTTCCTTCCTCACCTGACTTCTTATCTTTTCTTCCTTGAGAGTTTAAGTATCCTTGGTTGAGACCCCACACACACATACACACTCAAATTTCTGATCCTCAGGGACGTTGTGAGCCAAGTCTAAGACTAGATTCTTCAAAGATTCAGTGTCCCGAAGAAACTGCTTTAAGGATCCCTTAATGGGTTTGTCTGCCTTCTAGTATGTCACTGCTGTTGCCAACTTGAGACACATCAGGGTCACCAAGGAAGGGGCTGCCACATTTGACTTGGAGCTGGATCTCAAGAACCTTGAGAGCAAGATTTACCTGTACAAGGTGAGGCTAGAGGCCTTATTGGGGGCTGCAGGTCCTGGGAGGGAAATGATGACTCTCATGGAATCATCTAGAACACCCAGGTGGTAAGCATTCACCCATGGGGTTCCAGCTAGAGTTGTTAGGTCACACCCTGTGTGGATAGTCTCCAGAAACCTCTTACCTCTCCATGAGCCAGATCTGCCATTCTATGTAGTGTCTAATGCCCGAGCAGGGTAAGAACAGAGTTCTGAGCACATGCCAACCATGTGAGACCAAGAAAGGTATGTGGGATTGGGGGCTGCAAAGCATCCATTCTCTCTACAGCCAAACTAATGCTGGCACCAGCACTTCAGACTAGACACCTTGCTTGTGCCTCAACTTTCTCATTTATGAAGTGAGGGGTCAGAAGAGCTACCTCACAGAATACTTCAATGCCCAAAGGACACTGTGCATGCTTGCCAGTTCCTGTGACCTAGCTCCTCCCACCTGTCTCTCTTCTTCCTTGCTGCCCTGTTCAAGCTCCTTGGCCTTGTCCCTGTTCCTTCTCTATAACTCCTCCTTGCACGCTCATTTCCTAGCATGTGCTCCTAGCATGCTCATCTCTGATATCCAAGTGGCTAATTCTCTCATCTCACCCAAGAGCTTCTGCTGAGCTTAGCCCTGGTGCTTCTGAGCCCTTCGCCCCCTTAGGCTGCTTTGTTCTTAGTTTTCTTTTTCCATATACAGATTACTTATTTATTTATGTTGCTTATTGGTTCTCTTTCTTTCATGTGGGGTTTTTAGTTCCCTCGGAGCAGGAATCTTTGTTCTATTTTATTGTAGTATCTCAAGTACCTGAAATAGTGCCTGGTACACAGCAGGCACCTAATAAGTGTTAGCTATTGTTAATTCTCAGGTAGCAAATCACTATGTGGTTTAGAAGGATTAGTGTATGTATAAACGACTGTGTTTCATGCGGCCCTGAAACATTCTCTGAACACCCTTGGTTAATGAAAGGCATGGACCCAGGTCATAAGATCACTTATGCTAACACACGGGGCTGTGTAGCAACTCTCTTCCCAGCACAGCTTGGATCAGCCATTTCGGATGTCTCAGCATAAACTGCACAGAGTTTTTCCACCCATAGAAAGAGGCCTGGGCGTTCTTAGAACATATATTTCCACCTACCACATCCAGGTTCTGCTCTCTACCCCGAGCCCACAATCCCGTATCTTTTATGGCCCTAGGATCATGTTGTCTTTGACCTTGGCCGGTAGAGAAAGCCGTTGGTGATAGCCAGAGTGAGGCTAGGGTAGGAGGCTCTTTGGACCTACTGAGGCCCTGACCTATCCTTTTCTGGCTTCAGGATGGTGAGATGATCCCCTATGGCTCTGATAACCAGACCAAGCACTGTCTGAGACGGCTGGGGAAACGCTACCACTTCCAGATCCAGGACCTGCGGCCGGAGGATGCTGGCCTTTACCAGGTCATGGTGGAAGATGCTGTGGTCTTCTCCACAGAGCTAGAGGCCAGCAGTGAGTGCTCGCCACCACAGACTTTTGCACAGGGGAGAGGAGAAGGCCCTGCTGGTACCGTGGAGGGGGATAAATGCATTGCAAGGGCAACTAGGAAGAGGGATACACCCAGATGTGCAGGCTGTTGGTATCCAGCTGGGCTCTAAGAGCGATTCAGAGCGATATGTAGCCATGCATGACATGCCCCTGCCCACAGACCTTTTGTTGAGGCTGCTTAGTTTCAAATCAAACCCAGACTATAGCCTTTTGCTACAATGTCACCCCTTCTGGTTGTCCTCCTCTCCCACAACTCCCAAGCAAGAATTTCCAGCTGGGCTGGACAGATCTGAGAAACAGACCTCTTCCATTGCTGCACCTTGTGTTTCTTCCCCACCTGGGAGTGTCCCTCCCTGAAATCTGTCCTGTAGCCATGAGTTTTGTGTCTACTGACAAGAGGACTATTGGAAGGACAAAGAGAGGCATGGAGGAGGAAGTTTTGAGAAGACAGGTCATAAAGAACAAGGCTGAACCATAGCTGGAGACCAAGAAGAGAAGGGGGCATCCAGCGGGCCTCAGGTGCTAGGATGGGCTTCTGAAGGCCAGTAACAATGTGACATGGGCAGAGGAGCATGAGCTGGGACTGGGCCACCTCTTAGCTGTCAGGATGGGACAAGTAAATTTTTTTTGGACCCAGGGCCTAGCTCATTCTAGGCAAACACCAGCTCCTCGGTTCTTTTTATTTTGAGAAGACTCTCTTTAAAGATGTCTAGACGGCTCACAAATTTACAGTGCCACAGGCTGGCCTTGAACTTGTGATCCTCTTGCTTCAAGCCTCTCCAGGAGCTGGGATTATTAGTGCATACTGCCATACTTAGAACATTTAATTTCTTAAACCTCAGTCTCTTCATTTGTAAAAAGAGCATTTAAGTTCTCTCAGTGATCATAATATGTTTTATGTGTGGATGGGGTGCTGCTGCCTTCAGTAAAGACCTGGTGGTGGCTACAGAAGCTGGGTAAGGAGACCACCCAGCCAAGATGAAAGGAAGATTGTGGCAAACCGGTCTCTCTACGTTTCTTAATTCTCAGCCCAAGTGCTCAGACCTCCCTGTGTCTCCTTCCAAAGCTGATGCCCTGCCCTCTCTTGTTTCCATGGCAGCCATCCCTCCCAGAGTGGTGGTCCCATTGGCAGAGGCCCGCTGTGAGGAGCAGAGTAATGCAGTCTTTGAATGTACACTCTCCAACCCTTGTCCCAATGCTACCTGGCATTTCCAGCACCGACCACTGAGGCCCAGTGACAAATATGAAGTATTTGTGTCTCCTGATGGGCTCACCCACCGGCTGGTTGTGAAGGGGGCCGGCCACTCAGATATGGGCCTTTACTCGCTGAACACTGGGCTCCACGCCTCCAGTGCCTGGCTGGTGGTTGAAGGTGCGTGGCCACACTTCTGAATTCCCCTGTCTTTACCAAGACAAGGTCTCTGAGCGCAGGTGGGAGGGTTTCTGCCGCCTTGTCATTTGCCTCTGTCATGAATGAGAAAGGCTCCTTAGCTCTACTTTTGACTGAGCGCAACACAGCCTCTTCATGGTCAGCCAAGCCCAGCTGTGTGCACTCTCTTAGACCTCTTAGGGTTACTCTGGAACCTCAGATTCTAGATGACCCCGAGGCTTGGGATAAGGCTTGTGACAGTGGCCTGTGTTTAATGTGGATGAGAAGCCCTTGGGCTGGACCAGAAAACCCCCTGAATCCTTCCAAGCATTGGCATCTGGGGGCAATGTGATCCCAGGAAACTGAATTGGGCATGAGGTGGGGTAGACAATTGGACAAGTGGGTCTCCTGAAACCCACAGCAGCTTGATAAAATCACAACATTGCTTATGTGGCAAAAGCACATGATCCACATGGCAGGATGGGGTGGGGTGTGGATACAGGCCTGGGGGAGGAGGTGATGGGACATATCCACCAATGTGCTGGAACATTTTTTTTTTCTTCCACTGGGCAACTTCTCCACTGGGGAGGGTGAGGGCTAGGCAAAGCAGCCATGTCAGACAGGTGCCTTGCCCTCATTTAACAGGGTCTTTTCTCTTGTCTCTCTATGGGCTAATGACCTCTGTGTAATTAACACCTCACGGAAGGTGGGAAGGATACAGGCCCTCAGACCACAGATACTGACCACCGGCTTCAGACTCCAGAAGCTCTGACCTCAGAAACAGAAGACTCTGGAGCCATCAGCAGCAAGGGAGGGCAATCCAGAGAACAGGGCTCCCTCAAGGAGACTAGTGTGGTACAGCTCATAGCAGGCCCAGACAGGGGTGCCTTTGGCAAGCATGGCTATTCCTTGGTAGGGGATGCAGAGAGAGCTAATTCTGCTTGGAGACCTGGGCAGGACAAAAAGGGCTTTTTGGAAGGAGAGCAAGGTGGGGTCATTCTTCCAGGGGACAGTCAGCCCCACGGAGAGGGGGACTGTGGCAGAAGCCTTCCCAGAAGGCTCCATCTCCAGAGAGGGGACACAGAATCAGATCTGGGCTTCGTGGAAAGGCAACAACAAGGTCATGGCAGAGATGGCAAAGGGAATAGCAGGTGGGGGGACACAGGAGGTTGGAAGGCTGGCTCCAGCCACTCTCAGGATGGAAGACTTGAAAGCAGCACAGAAGGAAGGGAACCCAGAGAGAGCTATGGCAGTGAATTGGACAGACGTGGTCAGGGACAACTCTGTGATCCTCACCTGAGGGCTGGGGCAGGACAGAGGGTACTTTGGGGATCCCAATCTGATCTTGAGGGCCTTCAGCTGACAACGAAGGAAACAGAAATGTGTGGCAATCATATGGGTGAGAAGGAAGAAAAAGGTGACCCGAGGAGGGAGAAGGGAGCAGCGGCAGGGTGGGCTAATGGAGCCTGCCTTGGGGAAGGTAGAGGAGGCAATAGGGCAGGAAGACCTTGCATCCCTGAGTTTCCTGGAGCTGGGGATCACAGCTCCAAGGTAGGCCCCGAGTGCTGGGGCACTCAGGCAGGTGGAGATGCTGATTGTGGAGAAGCTGGGATGTACTGGGAGGAAGGAGGATATCCAGGACAGACATCTGCTGGAAATGACATGCAGAATTCATTACTATATGGAGGGAGGGAATTTCTGGGATGCAGCAGTTCTGAGGCCAAAGCTGAGGGCTCTCTGCGAGGGGCAGGTAGTCATGGAATTATGGGGAGGGGCTACAAAACTGGCCCTGGAGGCCCAGAAGATCCCAGGGACTGGAAAGGTGGTCTGCAAGAGCCACAGGGAGGGGATGGCCAAAGCACAGCTGGGGCCTTAGGCAGGACGGAGGATGGTTCCAGAAACTCCCAGTTTCCTCAGAGCTGGACAGCGAGGCAAAAGGGAGCAGGAGGTCCAGGCAGAACAGAGGGTGGAAATGTGGGTTCTCAGGATGACACATGGTCCAACCTCATAAAGACGGGGGCCCACAGTGGGTCTGGTGGGGAGAAAGGGAGAATGGATGGTTCCGAAATAGCTGGACTGATGTCTAGTCAGAGAGTAGATGCCAGAAACCACAGGCTAGTTATGTCCGCAGGCCTGGGTGTCCAGGGCTCTGGGGGAGCACTGGGAGATATGGAAGGATTAGGAGATTCAGAGGCAGTAGGATCTGAAGAAGATTTCTGGAACAGGTCAGGGAGGTCCAGCGAAAAAGGGTCCAGAGGTGGGATGGGCTACAAGGATGGCTTAGGAGGACCAGGATGGGTGGAGTCTAGGAATGAGGAGAGCTTGGGTTCTAGGAGTGGAACTACTTACCGTGATGGTGCAGGGGTGCTAGAAGGAGCAAGACCTGGCCTTGATGTTGGTTGCAGAGCTACCTATGGGACATCTGCAGAGACAGAGTCTGGGAAGCAGGGTACTTACAGGCATGACTCAGGCGTGCCTGGGGGATTGTGGTCTGGAAACAAAGGTCAGCATGGTCCTGCAGGAAAGGTGTCTGGGAGAGGGACCAGCCTCAGAAATGGCTCAGGTGGCCTTTGTGGAATCAGTGAAGATCAGCATCAGGATCTATTTCAAGGCCAGGGTCAAACAAGCGCTGGTGGAGAGCACCACTCTGTTCGTGGTGAAGGGAGTCCTGGGACAGTGGGACCTGTGGGTGGAGATGGTACCATGTCCTCTGGGACAGTAGGAAAGGTTGGGAAGAAATATATGGAAAGAGAACCAGGAGACTCTGGAGGAATAAGTTCTTGGGGTCACACTGGAGACTATGAGGACTTCAGAGTCCTGGGGGCCTTTAGAGAAGGAGACTTTGATGATGGCATTGGGGTTCCATTATCCATGGGACCAGGGTCTCTAGGGAGAGGAGACAAGGAAAGTGATGGAGAAAGAACCAGGTTCCTTGGTGCCAGGACCTCTGGAGCTGGAACTAGGAATTGGGACAAATCTGGGCACCCTGGGGCACCATCTCCTTATGCAGAGGCTGGTTCAGAAGGCCGCTGGGCTCATGTGTCTACCATTGCATTGGGTTATAGAGATGGGTCTGAAATTCCAGAGTCTTGGGGAACTGGCAACAGAACAGCTTACAGAGAAGGGTCGAGGGCTCCTGGGCCTGGAAGAAAAGGACCCGATGGTGAAGTAGCATTTACAGATGGTTCAGCAGCCTCCAGACAAATGGGGCCAGCCAGTGAGGCAAGTTATAAAAATGTAACTGGGAGCTCTGGAGCCATGGGGTCAGGGTATAAGGTAGATTATAGGAACAGTCGTGGATATTCTGGAGTTGTGGGGTCAGAGAGTGAGGCAGGTTATAAGAATGATGTGGAGGGTCATGGGGTGAGGGAATTAGGGGGTCAAACAAGTTATAAGAATGGTTTAGGAGCATCTGAAATCATTTCATTAAAGGATGAGGTAGGCTATCAAAGTGGTTTAGAACAATCTGGAGGCATTTTGTCTTGGAGTGAGGCAAGTGTAAGGGATGGCTTGGGGGAAATTGGAAGAATGGCATCCAAGAATGAGGCTGGTTATGAAGGAAGCCCAGTGGGGCCTGGGAAGATGGGGTTGGAGAGTAAAATGCACTATGTGAATGGTTCAGGGAGGTCAGGAGGGCCAGGCTTACTGGCTGCACCCAAACAATATGAATCTGTGGGTCTTGGGTCAGTTTACCAGGCAGCAGCAGGGATAGGCACAAGCCCCAAGGATGGTGCAGACAAGGGCAGAGGAATGGGGTCTGCAGAGACAGGGCCTGGGGTGAGCTCTGAGATGGTTGGAAGACCAGACACTACAGATGGACTAGCGCGCAAAGGCAGTGCAGTGGGCTCAGGGAATCTGGGGACACCAGGAGGGCCACGTATCTTTTCAGGTGGGCAGGGTACCAAGAACAGTCTCAGGGGCCATGGATCCTCAGGAATCACCGAAGCCATAGAGGCTGTTGGTTCTGTGGGGAAACCAGGTATCAGAGAATGGGAGGATGTTTCTGGGTTCCCAGGTTCTCATAGGGACATAGGGACTCCCACTGGGGAAAGAAGATCTGTAGACCAAGCAGGAGTTGTAGGGACATCTAGGCTTCTTGGTGGTAGGGGGACAGAGGAGGATGAGAGTGGGTCAGGGGTAGCCGCTCTGAAGCCAGGAAATGATTCAGACTTTAATAAATCAGGCTTAGGGACAACAGGCAGTCAGAGAGTTGTTGGCCAGGGGGGAATGTCACCTCAGGGATGTGGAGGCTTAATGCTGAATGACAGGAGTAGGGGAGCCAGTTCTGAGAGCTTGTCAGGGGCTGGGCAGTTGATAAACAGCAGTTCTATGCCTGGGAGAGAAGCCAAGGTAATGTCAGGGCCTGACAGTGGGCGAGATATGGGCCCCAATCAGGCTCCAGGCTCCAGTCAAGGCAGCCTCAGAGCTTCTAGCTCACTGCTGGAGAACGACTCCATTTTCAGGCAATCCCATGGAGGCCAAGGAGCCTCTAAGGGCAGGGGACATGCAGCTGGCCAAGAGGCTGCTGGGGAATGTCAAGATCCATGCTCCTTGGAGAGCAAAGGTTCGAGTTCTGGAAGAGCCAGGGCTGGTTTTATAGAGAGCGCAGGTGTCCCAGACAGAAGAAATTCCACTATACGTGGAGATGGTGTCATTTCAAAACCTCAGGAGCCCCAGAATGAATTAGACAGTCCATTGGGAAGAAGGGACTTCAGAAGTTTATCAGGAGGAATCCAGGAGCCAGGTTTTCAACTAGGGACAGGACAGGAAGAAGGAAGAGGGTCCCTCCAGGAGGGAGAGTTCTGGGAGGCTGAGATTAGCAAGGTCCAAGGATCTGGGGCCTCAATGAAATATGAAGGGAAGGATGGGAAAGACCCTGGCAGGTCAGGCCCGAAGCCTGGTCCCTTTGCAAGCAGGTGTCGGGCACAGTCTGGCACTGAAGTTGGGTCAGCAAAGAAAGAACACACAGAGAGGACCGGAAGTCTAGGACATTGGACTGGCAGTGAGGACAGAGGGTCTCTGAGAGCCGGGAGTAAAGATGGGAGGAGAGGTCCCCATGGGCATCTTGGTAGCAGGAGAGATACCCAAGAGGGCAAGTCAGATGTCTATAGCCAGGGACAAGCTGCAAGCCAGAGCCCCAGATCCAGATACAAGCCTGGCACTGGCCGCTCTTCTTCGGAGGCCCGAGGTAGGTACTTTCAGCTGGTGGCTCCCATAGGGTGGAGCCAGAGGGTAGGGTCCTTGGATAATGGGGTGCCTACATGCCAGTGCTACCTTCAGCTCAGAAGCTCATCCCTACCACTGCCTCCATTTCCCAGAATCCCTTGCAAATTCAGGGAGTAACCCTTCCTTTCCCCTCCCCATGCAGAACGGATCCAAGCTGTGTGAAACTCAAAGGTTTGCTTGGTATTAGATCTTGAAACCCTGTGGCCAAAGTTCCAGAGTATTAGCTTGTCTCTGTGACTCAGAATTCCCATCTGTGGGACTCGGGGGTGGATTGGGGATGTGCTTCATCTACCTACACCCCCATCTCTGTACCAGCCTAAGGGAAACAGGAGGCTGGGCACACTGGGTCTGACTAAGCCATGGGCAGAACTATGGAGGCCTAACAGAATTCAATGCAGGCCAAGGCTGGGGCTTTGGGGACTTCCTTTGTCTCCCTCTAGGCTCCATGGGCCACTTCTCTCAGGGTCTGACTGATACTGAGGTGCAGCTAGGAGAAGCTGCCATACTGTCCTGTACCCTCTCCAGCGACCTGGGACCTGGCACCTGGTTCAAAGATGGAGTCAAGGTACTGATGCCCCCCGCCTCATGTCCTACAACTCCTCTTTCCCAATTAATGTGGGTGGGTCTGGGGGGCATGGCAAAGCCGAGAAGTAGACGGGAGAGACTTTGCCCAGCGTTTTTACTCTTCATTTTACTGACATTTCGACTCTGAGAGACATTTAAACAGCTGGCGAGCTGTGTGTTTACAATAAACACATTATGAATGTATGGCACAGCCTCTGCTGTCCCTCCACCATCCTCTGTCACAAATTCCACTCGGGCTTCAAGGCCTTGTATAAGTACACTGCCTCGTCCTGACCAGCTGGGCTCAGCAGTCTCTCTGAGAAGTCTCTCTGAGTGCCATCAGAGCTGCCACATTGGGTGGTACAGCACAGTAGCTTCAGTGAACTCTGACCCCTGACCCCTGCTCCACTGAGGTTATGTGACCTCAGACGAGTTGCTCGTCTATAGAATGGGACTTGCAAAGGCATTGATCTTGTAGGGCTGTTTTGAGAGTTGAGGCACCAGGCACAATGGCCTGAACTGGGCAGTGTGGGAGATGCTGTCTCCATGGTGATCCTTGTCTCCAGCTCACTGCCCAAGATGGGGTCATCTTTGAGCAAGAGGGGCTCACGCACAGACTGATCCTGAGCCACGTGGAGGGGACCCAGGCTGGGAGATACACTTTTGTAGCTGGCAGCCAGCAGAGTGAGGCCAGCCTGATCGTGCAGGGTAAGGCCCAGCCCTTCCCTACCCCTTCGTCTCTGTACAAGGTGAAAATGTCCATTGTCTGCAAGCTTCTCAGTCTGTGGAGATTCCTATGAAGCCAACCCATGTCTTTCACAGCTCAGCATCTTATCTCCTTTCTTACCAGGAAGTTCTTGGTAAGGTCTGACCCCGGCTTTTCCTTCTGCAGACCCAATCCATTTCCTTTTGCTAGTCCTCATGAGCTGGGGTAGGGAGTTCCTTCTCTAGGCTCTTTCCATGGTCCCCGGGGACCCAGGGCTTGGTCCTCTCTGATTCCTTTGCGTTACTTTTTCTCCAGATCCCCCCACCATCGCTCCAGATGTGACAGAGACACTCAGAGAACCACTGGTGTTCAAGGCTGGGAAGCCAGTGACTGTGAAAATCCCTTTCCAGAGCCACCTCCCTGTTCAGGCTGCCTGGAGGAAAGATGGGGACGAGGTGGCGGGCAGCAACCACAGGGGCGTCCAAGTGGCCCTAGGGGATGGCTATACACGACTGTGCCTCCCCAGCGTGTGCAGGAAGGACAGTGGCCAGTACAGCGTGACACTGAGGAGTGAGGGAGGCTGCGTGCAGGCCGAGTTTACTCTGCAAGTTATAGGTGCTAACCCCACCTGTTCTCTAACTAGGGCCTCAGGGTTCTGGGATCCCAGGTCCTCCCTGGTAGCCTGGACAGGCTAGGGGATGGACTTGCTAGCCTTTGGTCCTCATTTGCATGATAATTCAAATTCAAAGCCACCCCTACTGGCCACTTCCCTGTCCCCAGACTGCCTAGAAAGAAGAGATAAACCAGCCTGTACCTCTATGAGCTCCAATACAACAGAGCCTGGGGAAGACACTTGGTGTCTTGTACCAGCAAAGTCAGATTGCCTATGCCAGAGTGCTAAGCAGTAGCCCATGCTGGATATTGATTGGAGCTGGGTACAGGCTGGAGGTTTCATGGTTTCTCCAGGGCAGGACTGGGGTGGGAGAGACCAGAGACACCAAGAGACATTTGTAGCCTCCCCATGAGCTGGCACCTTGCCTCTGCCTCTGGCTATGCCAGGAACAATGCATCTCTGGGCGGTCCACCCCTTTGCAGACTTATCCACCGATGAGTAGTTAAGTAACCCGGCCCCCTCCCAGCTTCTCTGACTCCTTTCTTCTCCTGCTCCTTTCCATGGGTCCTCAGACAAGCCTCAGCCCCCACAGGGACCCCTGGAGGTGCAGGATTGTCACAAAGCAGGTGTCTGCCTCTGCTGGCAGCCCCCGAGGGACGATGGGGGCCAGGTCGTGCAGCACTATGTGGTGGAGAGGCGGCAGGCTGGAAGGAGCACTTGGCTGAAGGTGGGCGAGCCCCCACCAGACAGTACCAGCTTCACTGACAGCAGCGTGGAGCAGGGCAGGAAGTATGCCTTCCGTGTTCGGGCTGTGACCTCAGAGGGGGCCGGAGAGGCCCTGGAATCGGAGGAGATATTGGTGGCTCCTGAGGGTGAGAGCAGATGTCACTTGGATAGAGAACTCTTCTGCCCTCTCTGGTGTGCCCAGAGGCTGAGGGCTGCTAGCTATGCTTGTAGGGCGGGGGATGGGGAGGCTTAAAGTCTTTCTAGAACACAGTGGACACCCATTGCTACAGCTTATTTTGGGATCTTGTAGCCTTTTGGGGTTCTTTCAGGTTGAGACACACAGCCCCCTTCTCTCAGGATCTGCATATTGGTCAATACCCCTCTCTATCACATATCCTTGTTCTACAGCAAGCTATCTGGGCATGGTTAAGGGGTCTCTGAACTGGCTCTAGACTCCATCTAGAGCTAGAAAACATTTTCTGTTCCATCATCTCTGTCCCAGAGCGGCCAGAATATCGTCCTAGAAAAAGCTGACCCAGCACTGGAGTGCTTCAGAAAACTGTGACTGTGCCCCCTAGCTTCCCCTTGCCCTCTCCCAGGAGCTGGTGCTTGCCTCAACCTCTGCTGACTGGCACCCTCTGCCCTCAGCTCTCCCAGGGCCCCCTTCTGCCCCAGCCATCCTGTCAGCCTCCAGCCAGAGCATCACGCTAACATGGATGGCACCACGGGGCCCTGGCAGTGCCCACATCTTGGGCTACCTGGTTGAGAAGCGCAAGAAGGGGAGCAACACCTGGATGGCTGTGAATGAGCAGCCCGTGTCTGGTGAGTTGGCCTGAGGGCAGCTTCTCACCAACCCCACTCCAAGTAGTCTTAGAGCCTCCCCTGGCTATAGGGCCCCTTGGTATTGCTAGTGCAGATCAGTTTAACATAGTTGCTTTTCAGATGAGGTGATTTTGTCCCCACAGGGGACATTTAGCAATGTCTAGAGCTACTTGCAATAGTCACAGCTGGCAGAGAGTAGATGCTCCTGAGGGCTTGTGCAAAGAAGCCCAGCATGCTGCTAAACACCCCATCCCAGCAAAGTCTATCAGCAGAGCTGAGCTTGAGGACCCCTGGAGCAGAAGTCTGAGATTGAAATCCAGGAGTAAAGCTGTCTTCCCTAGCCTCCTCCCACCCCCGACTTCAGGCTTTGGCCATTGCCAGCCCTCTGTACATCTCAGCTGCCTCACTGATAACAGAAATGGAAGTGCCCCCGACCCTCCTAGATGGTAGCTGCTTCCAGAGAAAAGAAAGGCTAAGAGATGGAAAAGGATAAGGCTGGGCCAGGTGTTAAGGAAGCTTCCAGAACCCTGTGCATGTCTGTGCTCTGTGTGTACTGGAAGCCCAACACCAGGCTCACAACAAATTGTCAGGAGTCCTGTAATGTCCATGCCATTTATGAGTTACAGCCCCTTGGGGACCATATCCTCATCTCTAACATCACCATTCAGTAAGTATTACAACTCTGTGAGGCAGCGTGATGCAAAGCCACCAAAGTGCCATCAAGACCATCTGGCAAGGTTGTGGCAGAGCCAGACAGGATGGGAATGAAAACACCTTGAGCAGTCTCTTTTCACCTTGGAAGCCACTCTCTCTGTCACACCTGGCTGGTGCGATGCTGGAGGGCTATGTTAGACCCCATGCTTGGTCTTCCTCTGAACTTGGAGGTGCTGAGCTCCAAGGTTCTGATCCTACCACGGAGACTAATATGGGATGTGGTCTTCACAGAAAGGAGGTACACTGTGGTAGATCTGCGACAGGGTTGCCAATATGAGTTCCGGGTCACAGCTGTGGCTCCCTCGGGGCCTGGAGAGCCTGGGCCTTCATCGGATGCTGTCTTTGCTCGAGATCCCATGAGTAAGTAAAGCATCAATCCAAGATGTAGGGAAGGGATGTGCATGGGATAGCTCTGACACTGTGGGACAAAAACTCACAGGTCAGAGGCAGTGTGGAGGGAGATGTTCAGGAGGGATGGAAGTCAAGGTTGAAAAAACACTAGGATGAGATATATCTTAAAGGGCTTAAATTGAAATTAAACAGGTCCAGGGGCCAGGCAGTAGAGATGAGAACTTGGCTAGAACATGTCATCTACGCTTTGGCCTCTGGGAAGGTCCGCCTCCCTGCTAGCCCAGTTCTATCACCCATACACTACTGGGTATTCCCTGGGGAAGAGGTAGCAGGGAAGCTTAGCTTCAGTTCTCTACCCAGTTCACGCTGGCCATCACATGCAAGGGGGCCAGCATTGCACCTGGAGCTGGGGCATCAGCCCAGCCTCTGTCTTTAGTGGCTAGACAGCCTAGCCCAGCATTCGCCTGTCTGAAGTCTCAGCAGCATCAGAGATGTCAGGAGACATTCTCTGGACAACAAAAACAGCAAAAGATCTGTCATTAAAGAGAAGTATGACACCAGCGTCTACATGCCCATGCCCCACAGAGAAGACACTTGTCTAACTTTGATTCAAACCCCTGATTCAAGTGGAGAACACTTCTCATAACACCCCTATCAAAAGCTTCACTCCATGGAGAGAGTTTAGGAGACATCACTCTGAGCACCTCAACGAAGGCTGCTGTGTAAGCCATCAAGGCAGCAGCATGCTGGAGACAAGTGCAGAGTCAGCTGTGCAGTGAACTGTTTGAACAACAATAGTAACAGTAGCGTATTCTACTGACCTCTGGCTCTCTCATCTGTGTTGGGGGATGGAGGAAGGAAACAGGATGACTGTCTGCAGCAGCCACAGCAGCTGACTATATCTTCTAGACCCTCACTATTGAGCAAAATCTGTAAACCGGAAATGTCACTTGGGAATCTTGCAGAAACTCAAGCCATGTGTAGTGACACACACATCTGCAACCTTAGGACTAAAAAGCTGAACAGAAGGAGGCACATATTTCAGATAGGTAGGTAGATAGATAGATAGGTAGATAGGTAGATAGGTAGATAGGTAGATAGATAGATAGATAGATAGATAGATAGATAGATAGATAGATGAATGAAAAGGAAGGAAGGAAGGAAGGAAGGAAGGAAGGAAGGAAGGAAGGAAGGAAGGAAGGAAGGAAGGAAGGAAGGGAGGGAGGAAGGGAGGGAGGAAGGAAGAAAGGGGGAGGGACAGAGGGAGGGTGAGAGGGAGAAAGAGAGGGAGGAAGGGAGGAAGGAAGGAGAAAGAAAGAAGGATATCTTAGTCTGCACCTTAGAACACTTCAATTAGGATCTGTTTTTTGTTTGTTTTCTGGTTGCAAATGTATTATATTTTATATTATTTTGTTATCTTTAAATATTTATTATTTATTTATTTATTTATTTATTTATTTATTTATTTATTTATTCACTTTGCATCCCTATCATAGCCCCCTCCCTCCTCTCCTCCTGGCCCCATCCTCCCTTCTTCCCCCTCTCCTTCCCTATTTCTCAGAAAAGGGGAGCCCCCCTCCACTGCCCAGCCACCTCAGCTCAGCAAATCACATCAGAACTGAGTGCATCCCTTTCCCCTGTGGTCTGTTGAGGCAACTGCACCAGGGGGCGTGAACAAAAAGCAGGCAACAGAATCCCTGTCAGAGACAACGCCCGCTCCCCTTGCTAGGAACCCACATGAAGCCTGAGTTGCCCATTGGCCATATCTGTGTAGGGGGCCTAGGTCCAGTCTTTGCATAGTCCTTGGTTGGTGCTTCAGTCTCCACCCCTCAGGGCCCTGGTTAGTTGGCTCTGTTAGTCTTCTTGTGGAGCTGCTGTCACTTCCAGGTCCTTCTATCCTTCTCCACACTTTTCCACAAGACTCTCTACACTTCACCCAATGTTTGGCTGTGAGTCTTAGCTCTGTTTCGATCTACTACTAGGTGAAGCCTCTCAGAGGACAGCTATGCTAAGCCCCTGTGTGGGAGCAGAGCAGAACGTCATTAACAGTGTCAAGGGTTGGCTCTCTCCCATAGGGTGGGTCTCAGTTTGGGCCAGGCATTGCTTGGTCTGTGCTCCATCTTTATCCCTGCACATCTTGTAGGCAGGGTAAAAGGGTCTGGGTTTTTAACAAAGTCCCCGGTGATTTGAGAGCAAATTCAAGGCTGAGAAGCACTCCCCTGGGCCAGTGGTTTTAAACGTCACCATATGTTTCGAAGTACCAGTGACTCCTTAGCAGTCCTGGAGCCCTGGGGCTAGTATCTCACAGGTTGTTTAGCGTGCAGCTAGTCTTGAGTCCACACTGTGGTGCAGCGTTCATGCATGCCATGCTTTTTGCTTGTTCCAGGGTCCCCATGGGTAGGTAGAGCTGCTGTTGTCCACTCACCAGGTGAAGAACAACAAGCCCATGCTGGTGTTGTTCCCAACTAAGAGTCACGACTCAGCATCCAGACGTAGAACTCCAGTCGCCAGACACACCAGAACGTAAAAGATTATCCACTAAAAGTACCAACTTTCCAGGATTACAGGACAGTTAGGGGTTGGCAAGTTGGTTGTGTGATAGATGAGATAGCCAGGGACCCGCATGCATAGTTGAGGCACAAGATCAATTTTAGGTAGTTTGTGCAGAAATCCCTAAGAGGAAAAAAAGAATCCCAAGTCCCTAGGAAGACTCCTCAGGGGAAGCTAACACATTCCTGAAATTTCCACTGTGCCTGTCCAGGACCCCCAGGGCCTGTGCGGGACCTCCAGGTTACAAACACGACGGACACTAGCATCACCCTGAGCTGGGTGGGGCCGGACACCCAGGATAATGATGAAGCCCAGGGATACATTGTGGAGTTGTGTGGCTCAGACAGCCTTCAGTGGAGCCCATGCCACGTGGGCACTGTGCCGGGCACCACCTTCACAGCCAAGGGCCTTCGGCCCCAAGAAGGCTACTTTGTGCGGGTGACGCCAGTTAACGATGGGGGCCATGGCCAGGCCACTTCCCTGGACACACTGGTTCATGCCATGCCTGCTACCGGTGAGTATCACATCCTTCCACACCCTGAGTGTTATGAACCCTTCCTGAGAGGCACCCTGCTATGGAGCCGCCAGCTGCCTTCCTAACAGAGGGGTGGCACCGGGTACCAAGCAAAGTGCCTCTTAGAAATGCATTCTCATTACGGCTCCTGCCCCACATAGTAAATATTCTTGATCCCCTGTTTACAGAGATGGAAACAGGTCCACGATGCTTCTCCCAAGGTCTCCCCATGGTTATAGCCCAGATCCAGGGTTAAAAACAAGTGACCCCAAGGCCTGGGTGCTTCATACTTTGAGACAGCACGTGACCCAGGTCCCTGTTACACAGATTGTGTTTCCCTTTGGGTCTTAACCACTAGAGGCAAATACCTGCTCTTTGTGAGCTGTTCCCAGTCTCTCTGGTTGTCATTGTGACAACAAGGAGACAATTACAATAAAAGGTAAAGAGCTCCTGAGTCCTGAACCTAAGACTCTTGTCCTGCCTCTGTCCCTTACTGGATGTGACCAAGAATGGTCTAATGGCACTCTCGCCTCCAAACAAAAATGCAGTTGTCTCTGCCCTCCCTTGTTCCAACCTTCACCTTCCCTGTTGGCTGCTTTGTCTCTACTTCTCACCTTCCCACAAGACTGTCCCTGTCAGCTCCAGTCTTTCTCCCTAACGTGACCTGAGCTGCAGGCCAACTGTGGAGGGAGGTGACAAGCCATTTGTGTGTTCTAGTCTGTCCCAAGTTCCTCATGGACTCCAGCACAAAGGATACACTGGTGGTCAGGGCTGGGGACAGCATTCGAGTTCCTGTGTCCTTTGAAGTAAGTATTCCTGGAAGGGTATGTGGCAGGGCTTGGGGGCCCCAGAGCAACCAGGAAACTAGACAATTTGGGGGTATCCTCTCTTCCTCATCCTTCTTTAGCCCTAGTCATTGACCTGCGCTTGTCTCAGAAATTAGGTCCAGTGTGAGGTGGGTAGGAAGGAAAATGGCTCTTGAAGCCACGCTGCCCATTGACATCTGGATGCCGTTGGCCTTTCCTGTACATGTGTATAGGGTACACTCCCCTCTGGTGGTAGCTTCTGATACTGCATCTCCAAATGAATGCATCCCTCCACCCTCCCCACCTTAGTCTGGGAACAGAGGGAGCCGGCAACATAGATAATCATTTTTGTTTTTGGAATACTTTTTTGTGCAAGTGAATGAATGATCAGAGTTTGGCTCTGGACTATCCTCAGCCAATATCAACAGCACCTGACTAGTGTGGTAGTGAAAAGCCGCCTGATGCCATCATCACTAACTAATTTGACAATATCTTAACCTCTCTGTGTTTAAAGGTCCTCACACGGCATTGGGTTGTTCCATTGCTCCCTTGAGCTTACCAAAAGGCCGAGTGGTAGTAGTAATCTGGGCCCTGTCCTCCGAGCTTTCTGTGTGTTGCCTCCCTTCGTATCCCACCATCCTTCCATCCTTACTGGCTAACGCCACACTTCACCACCTCCCTGACAGCCTATTCCTAACCAGTTCCTTGTTCATCTCCGTGTGCTCAGGCGGGCACCCCCTTCTGGCCTAGAATGTTCTTCTTGCCCTTCTATATTAGGCCTAGCTTACAGACTTTCACTTTTGTAAAATTTCCTCCATGAAGAACAATGATTAGGGAGGAAGGAATCACGAAGGACAGGGGACCAGAATGGAGGGTAATGGCCTTAAGGAAAGAAAGAAAAAACAGCATGCTCTCTCTCTCTCATGCATGTGTGTGTGTGCCTGAGAGAGAGAAAGAGAGAGAGAGAGAGAGAGAGAGAGAGAGAGAGAAGAGGGAGAGGGAGAAAGAGAATGTGTATGATAGGAAAGCCAAAGGATAAGTGTAGCAGTGAATATCAGGAAGACACAGTGACATATACACAATAAAATGTCATAATGAAAACTGTTATTTTATGTGCTAACTAAACAATTCATTCGAACAGACACTTGAAAAAAAAAACAACTTCCTGTTGTCAGTCTGTCTTTGCTCTTGTTCCTCAGGCTGCCCCCATGCCTGAGGTGACCTGGTTGAAGGATGGCTTGCCCTTGAGCAAAAGAAGTGTGACCACCGTGAAAGACGGCCTCACCCAGCTTCTGATTCCTGCAGCCAGCTTCTCAGACCAAGGCCAGTACACTGTGATGCTGAAAAGCCTACAGGGGAAGGAAGCCACCTACAGCTTCTTCATCAGTGTGGCAGGTGAGGCCGGCTCAGCTGTGGACTCTGACCAAGGTGTGGAGGCTGCACAAGTCCGGGACACACACTGAGTGTGTGACGTGACCACACTGTGGACCCTGTGTACTTGAAGGCGCAGGAAGAGGGCAGAGGGAGAGTCCCTGAAAGCCCCCATTGTCTGACCCATGAACATGGAGACACCATCCTCACTTCTTAACTGCTTTTCTGGAGTCCAAGAGCGAATGTGGTTCCCACCACTGTATCACTGAAGGGCACCGCAGGACACCGCAGAGATGCCTGGGAAGAACTGCCCAGGTCCCTTGTCAAGTTAAGGTTGTCCCTTCCCTGGAATGACTCACTCCCCAGCATTGAATGTTCAGGAATGTTCAGGACTTAAAAGAAGAATTAGTGATTTGATTTTATGAAAACTCTGACTTCTGTCCACGTCCTGTCATTTTATCTTTTTTTTTTTTTTTAAAGTGAGTTAATAAGTATTTTTTGGAAGTCATCTGTGGTGGTGAATACCTATAATCCCAGACTTGGGACACTGAGGCAAAATCTAGAGTTAATGCTAGCCCGGGTTACAGAGGTGAAACTTTGCCTCAAAAAAAAAAAAAAAAAAAAAAAAAAAAAAAAAAAAAAAAAACCACAAAAGGGATTCTTTGGAGGATATTTTTTACCTTGTAGAGATAATTGTATATCCAGAATTAGCTTTGGGACTCCCAGGAGACTTGGGGTCCTGGAGAAGACTGTAGCAGAATGTTTGTGGTTCCTCTGCAGCACAGCTTCTCTGCTCTCTCCTCTCTCAGCATGTCCACAGGCACCAGGGTCCATCTACCTGCAGGAGAATGTGCCCGGGACAGTGACGGTCCAATGGGAACCCTCTCCAGATGAGGCTCAGGCCATCCCCTTGTACTATACAGTGCTGATGCGCTCCTCATCCCACGGGTCCTGGCATGAAGTGGCCGACCGCGTCCACACCAACCGCTTCACCCTCCTGGGGGTCCTCCCTGGCCATGAGTACCACTTCCGGGTTCTGGCAAAGAATGAGCTAGGAACCAGTAAACCTTCAGAAACCAGCCAACCCTGGTGTATCCCCAGGCACAGAGGTAAGGGTCCCCCAAAGTGGGAGGAGCTTAGCTGTCTGCTTCTGTAATCCTGGTGGTGGAATGTGTGGGATGGGGCACTGTCCCTCCCACCTCCTGCTCAGTGCACTGTACTGAAGCCCACTGCGCTGGACTTAGGGTGGGCCTTACGTCAATGAGAAGAGAGAGTCAGGCTGTGACTATCAGATTGCCTACAGGCCTTTGGGTAAATTCTCAAAAAGAACTGTAAGCAATAAATTAAATATAGAAGTTAGTATTTCTCTAAAAACAAAGTATGTTTTATAAATCAAATAGGTATAGATCTTTAAAAGGTCACAAGAAAAAGTTACAAAACTAGCTGCATCATTTTACTTCTATAAAATGCAAAAATGTCTAGAAAGTTCTACACTAAAATGTCAGCTACAGTGGTCTACAGGTAATGAGACTATAAGTTCTTATTCTTGTTTCTGTCTCTCTGTGTTCTGATTTATACACAATACATTTTAAAGTGTAAATTTTTAAGAATTTAAAAAATCCAAGCAGAATTTTAGGAAAGGGATTAAAAAGAGTGCCAGGCTGTGTAGATGAGATGTGGGGAAAGGCTCAGCTAATGGGCTCTCTAAACCTGGCTTCCAGTCAGGCCTTCTTTTTCTAACCATCCTTCCTTTTGCCCCGGAATTTACCACAGACAGGTTCACAGTAAAAGCTCCCGCACACCGGGAACCCAAGCTGAGCCAGAAGCCTCGCTTCCTGGTGGGGCTGCGGGCCCACCTTCTGCCCCAGGGCTGCGAGTGCCGCATGACCTGTGCCGTGCAGGGCTCACCCCAGCCCCACGTCACCTGGTTCAAGAACGACCAAAGCTTGGACAGAAACCCCGCGATGTACAGTACTGACATGCTGGGCGTGTGCTCCCTCGTCATCCCCAGTGTGTCCCCCGAGGACAGCGGCGAGTACAAGGCTGTGGCCAAGAACCCGCTGGGACAGGCCGTCAGCACAGCCACCCTCATCGTTACAGGTAACGATGGCTGCCCTGCAGGGGACCAAGTGGCCTGGGAATAGAAAGGAGAGGCAGAGAAGTAGTCTTTGGCCTCAGGAATCCCTCAAAGGCCTGTCCTCTCTAGATGACTCAGCTGGTACACTGTGAGCCTTGGATTTCTGCCTGCCTCTGTGAGTATTCACTCGGCTATGCATTTAGCCTGAGCATCACAAATCCCCCCTCAGTTTGATTTGCCCATCAGTAAAATGAGACATTGGCTACACTGGGGCCCCACACTAGCTACCTAAGTATCCCCATGTGGCCTGGCACATGCCTCAGGATGACACATAAGACTCTTGCTTTGCATGTCCTTTTGTAACTGTGTCAGATAGGAATATTTAGAAGGCCATGCTGAGTCTCTCATCTGTGGGCTCCTTTCAGTAAGGCAAATAATATATGTCAATAAGAAAGTACTTCGGTGGCTCTGGGTCAGCCTGTACCCAGTACTGTGGAGTCTTCACACAGGACAGGTGTGGGACTGGCCTCTGCCACTTCAGGATCATCTGAAATATCCATGTCTTGCAGAACACGCCTAGCCCCACTCAGCCTGGAATCCTAGCCCTGCCCCACCCTACAGCCATGAAATGGATGGAGATACCCACACTGGCCCGAGGAGCCAGTCCAGCATGACAGTGGCTGTTCCTGGGTGAGACAGGAACAAGGCAGCTTCTGGTGAGGTGTGACCAGTAGAGCCGAAGTCCTTGAAGAAGAAATAGAAGAAGGATGGAGGATGTGGTGTTGAGCCCGAATGTGGCTCAGCGTGACCCTGTCACTACAGGTGCCTTTGTTCCCACCTCTGGATGAAGCTCCAGAGTGGTCCACAGGGTGGGAGCTGAGCCCACTGTGACCACCGGAATGGAAAGTCATGGAGGGCAGAGGACCTGGGCGAGGCCATCAGAGCTGTGTGTGTGAGGCACTGTCTACACTTCATTAAAACAGCAGACTAAGAAAGTGGATTCTTCAGGGGAACTTGGGGCCGAGGGGTTGGAGGGCGGACCCCAAAGCCTCTGAGTGGAGGCTCCCATCACTCCCTGTCCTCACAGTGATGTCTGTCCTTCCTCTGATGTCTTCCATCCCTGATATTCATGAGAACCTCTGCCATTGATAAACCAGTAGCGGGTCTTGTCAGCTAGCCCTATGGCTCATGTGAGACAGTGCAGCAGGACTAATTACCTCAAGGCCTACAGAGCAGCCTGTTCTCAAGGAGGGACAGAGTTACTTATTTCACGTCCATAGCCCTGAGAGTCCATCCGTGCTTCCATCCCCCACCCGACCCCATGGCCCATGGCCCCACAGTCCAGGCTGTCAAAAAACTATTTCATCCCCCTTTTAAGTCATTTCAAAAGATGGTTTTGTCAGTGTTGCATTTGTTTTCCCTATCGTAACGAAAGCCTATCAAAGAAGCTTTTTAGTAAGGTATTTTTCATTAGAACATTTTAGTTGCAGAGATTCCCTAATTATCAGTTATGGTGGGCCATAATGAAGCTGCCATCTCAATGCTGAATAGTAGATTTTTTCCCCCTGCCTTTGTTGTTGTTGCTAAAGTTATTTTCATTTCTCTGTGTGAATGTATGTGTATGGGCATGTTTGTGGATGTCCACTGAGGCCATAAGAGGGCATTTTTATTGCCCATGGCAAAGTCCGCGCAGCTGCAGCCAGGGCCTGGTCACGATCCTATCCAACACATGTTACTGGAATATATTCTCTAGTCCATCAGCCCTTTACAGACATTCTTTCATTCACATGGTTGGCCTCACTTACTAAAAGGCATATCACCCCATCCTTCATAGAGACCTACCCTAGAAATCCTCCCAGGGACACCCCACCTTCAGATGGAGAAACCTTGACTATGTGCCTCGTTATAAGAGCAGTGGTAACACCACTGTACCTCTCAAATGTATCCCCGGTTCTGTGGTGTCCCTCCTTAGGCATCAAGTATTACATGGAATTTCCCGAGGAGTCTGTTTCTATTCCTCCCAGGTAGAGAGGGCAACAGCTAGCCAGAGAAATGGTTTTGTCCACATCCAGCGTGGTGACCAGAACTCATCTGGGGCTGCTCACCTGAGCATGGGCATTTGCAGGCGATCCCGCCACTGATGAAGCATGGCCCTCTCAACAATCACTAGCCTGGGGATGGGGTTAGAGGCATCTGTGTCTGTGTCCTCCATGAGCCTTTGTGAGCCCTTCCTTCCATCCATGAGAGAATGTTGGTGTGTCCAACCTTGTGAGTCTCATGAGAAATCACAGCCGCTCTGATTTCAGTATGGCCATGGCTATGCCACACTCAGAGGACAGAGCTCCACAGCACAGACTACTAAGAGAATTTAACAGGAGTTTGGATAAAAGAATCTAACTAAAAGCAGTTGGTATTTCCATAATCATCAGAAATCAACTAGAAAATATTTCTTTAAAGATAGTACCACTTTGGAGCTGGGTGGCGGTAGCACATGCCTTTAATCCCAGCACTCAGGAAGTAGAAGCAGGTGGATCTTTGTGAGTTCAAGGCCAGCCTGGTCTACAGAGTGTCCATGGCAGTCAAGGCTACACTGAGAGAAAGGAAGGAAGGAAGGAAGGAAGGAAGGAAGGAAGGAAGGAAGGAAGGAAGGAAGGAAGGAAGGAAGGAAGGAAGGGCTCTCAAGGCTCATAGCACACACAGGCACAAAGGTGCCTGAAACCCTGTGCCCAGGGTATATAAGTTGTTAACGATTGTTGTGAGGAGAGGCAGTCCTCAGCAATAGTGTAGTCACCTACAAATGCCCATGCTCAAAAAGCCAAAAACCAGTATTACCACTTTGGATAGCAACAAATACACAAAACACCTAGGAATAAATAGAATACAGAATGAACAAAACACACAGGGAGAAATGATAAAGCTTTACTGAAAAAAAAGCATAAATAAGTGGATATACTATATTAATGGTTAGGAGGCTAATATTATAAAAGCAGTGGGATCCCTCAGGAAGACAATCATTTTGATATTTCACAATTGCTATTTCCCCCGCAGCTGGGTGTGGGAGTGATGATAATAATGATAACCCTAACGGCCCAGACTTGTGGCTATTAGCCCAGCCTATGTCTGTCCTAGGTTGTCCGTGCAGTGTCTGCTCTCTGCCCTGAGCACTGCCAGCTGCCCCTTGCTTTAATTCCTTTCTGGACAGACTCCCAGTGTCTGAGAGTCTGCCGCCCCCCCCCCCCCGCAGCATTGTACTAGGTAAATGGGCATGCATCTTCCATCAAATTCTTGAGAAGCCACTGCTTGGGATGGAGTTGAGTAGCTGGAGGACAGATAGACAGAGGTCAGTGGAGCTTCTGATGGGTAGAGCAGGATGGGCTAATGCCACACAGTCCTGGTTTAGAACAGCCTCTCATTTGGCTTCAGGCTCTGCTGTTGCCGTCATCAACAGCAATACATTTCTTTTCAACCGGAAGGGGCTCTGTAGTCCCATTGTGCACTGACTGACAAGTTGAGTGCAGGGCAGAAGTGGCACTGAGCAGTCATTCCAAGCAACGCATGTATTATTACTATGGTTGTTCACACTAACGTTACTTTTGGGAGTGGATTCTCTCCTTCTACCATGGGGATCCCAATGATCAAACTCAGGTCATCAGGCTTGTCAGCAAGCAACTCTATCTACTGAGTAATCTCACCAGCCCCTCAACATTAGAGTTCTGAGCTCATCCATCCCTGGCTTTTGGTCACAGCTGTTAGGAAGAGCACGTGGCTGGCCTGTTGTGGTGCCACACATCCAGAATTACAGGAGGACTGCAAATCTGAGATTAGTCTAGGGTGTACAGTAAGACCTGGCATCAAAATATAAAGGCTGGGGTACAGATGAGTGGTCAAATGTCTGCTTAGCATGGGTCAGGACTGGGATTCGTGTCACAGAATTGTAAGAGCAAACAAAACCACACAGTGGGCTGGGCTGTGTCAGAAACTTCTGTGTAGCTGTAGAATGGCTGTGTGTACAGAAGAGCTGCTCTCAGCACTGAGTCCACTGTGGATCCATGTCAGTGTTCTGAGTTACGAGGACAATTGCTCAAAGGACCGAGAGCCACTGCAAGATGATCTAGGCTTCTCAGCAGCAGGGGATCAGCCTCTGAAGAGATGAACACTGGCAACCTCCTAGAAGATTGCCCAAAAGGCGCCTTTAGCAAGTCACTTTCCACATACCAAAACTTCTTATCTGACCTAGGGGTTGTCTTGAAAGACCAGTCACCTAAGCAATTCTCTGCCATAGGAGACTTCCTAGTTTGCCAGGCCTGTCTGACTAAGTTATACAAAGAATCCTCTAAGAATCCTTCAAAAGAACAATCCCATACAATCTCAGATAAGAATCATTGACAAAAGACACTTAGGTGCCACCACTCCAGAGTCATGCCAGATACAATGGTTCTGCTAAAATTCTACTACAGGTCCAGTCTTGGATTTCAGAGGGCTCATAAGAGTGTCCTTACCATCCAAAGGCGTCGCTGATGAGGTCAACCTCCCGTGACTGTTTCCTATCTAACCCCACATTCAACTCTTCCGGGATTCTCGCACAGTCCCTCACACTGACAACCCCGCTGTTACATCTGAAGCTCTGTCTGCCCTCAGCTGAGGCAGTGCCGCCCCCTACGCTTGATACAAATTCCTCTTGTCTTCTCAGAAGCCTGCACCATCCCACATCCCTTCCCTAGTCCTGTTTTAGATTCTATAACCAGTGATACCAAGATTCTGAAAGGGGACTCTGTGCCCCAGTGACATTCTGCCATCCTCTGTGGCTCCCGGCCTCCACAGTGTGTCACCTCCCTTTTGCTACTGCTGTACCTGAAACCGGGGCTGTCTTTCCCCCAGGAGACTTTCCTGCTCTGACATTAACTGTGGAACCTTTACCTGAGGCACACTGGAGCCCTCTAAAGAGGGGAACATTGGCAGGAAAACAGAACCCTTCTGGGTGGGGCAGTAATGCAAACAATAGGATCAACCCATTTCTTCCTGGTTTCTTCCAACTCTTCGGAGGCAAAGGACAGACATGCTAGTGGG